CCTTGCTCAGGAGGGTGCACCTCCTTGGTCAGGACACTGATGGATAATGACAACATGTCAATGATTGTTGCGTGCACCTCCTTGGTCCTGGTCAGGAGGTGTGATAATGAAAACTTGTGAATGAAATCCTTGCTCAGGAAGGTGTACCTCCTTGGCCAGGACAGGAAATCTGAATTCATTATGGAAACACTGGTAAATGATCTTTGCTCAGGAGGGTTTAGCCTTCGGCAAGGCATGTGACATTTGAATTTACATGAGTCGATCATGGAAACAGTAACATCTAAACAAGACAAACATGTTTGAAGCAATACGTTTTCTCCAATATGTTAAATCAAGAGAGTTTTGGGCAACACATACATATCCCTGAATGACTTGTAACATATGTTAAAAACCAACTCTATAACCATGTCTTAAAACATAGAAGCACCACCAATCAGCGCAAAGAACCTTACTAAATCCACCCCAGTTGAGGCCTTTGGACACAGCTGAAGCGGCTAGGGTGCCCACGAGAGCATGTGTTGAAGATGTCTTGCAACAGGGCGCACTTCCCCCCGGTCATGTGTATGTGGGGCTTGGCAGTCATAACCACCGCCTACCGACCACCAAGTGGAAGTCTCCATGGCAGGTGGGCGTGAATTGCACCCCTCAAGACTGGGTTCCCTATTACGTCCAGTACATCAGGGAGACACTCTGGTGCGAGTTGGATGAGCTCGAGGGAGCAGTGCTGGTCTGTGATTGCCCTGCAGCCCAAACTTGTGAGGCCGACCTCCTAGCCGGGTTGATTTTTGATCGCTTGAGCGAGCAGGGCCAGCGGAGTGCCCCACAGGTGGTCCAAGGTCATTCTGGCAGGGGTCACCAGGGAGTTACCCGATGTGTCCTCTTGTCAAGTGTAGCGCAGGCTACAGGCATCCCCTTCGGGCCATTTTACATTCTGCAGGAGTCCTTGGCGTTAGCGTTCAAGAAGCTGTACCCAGGCGAGTGGTTCGAGGGAGTTGCCATCCCCTTTGTGGAGGACTTGGTGAACCAGCACCCACTTGACCTGTTTGTGCGATGGCGCCACCAACAAGGGCTGGACATGGAGGGCAGCTGTAACCCGGTGTTGGCAGCCCCTTCAGTGCGGCAGAAGATGAGGACGGCAGAAGGGCAGCAGGTGGGAGCGATCAACCACAGAGCGGCGCTGGCCCCCCTTCTGCCCTTTCACCTTCAGCCAGACCAGCACTTTGAGCAAGCCCTTCAGCTCAGCATGCAACAGTTGCCTACTGAAGGGCTTCCCATGTTGGATGAGGATCTGAGGTTTGCTGCATCTTTCTCTAGCCTGCCAGGAGTTGACCTGCGCAGGTTGCGAGAGCGCGCCATGGGCATCCTATCTGAGATGAAGAGACGGTGGAGCTCGATCACGGCCCATTTGAGACGCAAACAGACTGAGGCCATCAGGACGGCAACAATGCAGCGTGACATCGGCTTCACTGCAATTCTACTTCTTGTAGCCAATTGGGGTGACGTGACACTGCCAGCAGGCCTGTGTATGGGGCTTCCCGCAGTGGGTTACGCGCCGCCATATGGCATTTTTCCGGAACAGGTTGCCACACGTTTGACAAGAGAGGAGGTACTCCAGGACTGGCAGAGCCACAACCAGACCATTTTGGCTCGGCTCAAGCCAGGTGCCGATGATGAGTTTTTGTTGCAGCAAAGCCTTAAAGATGCTGAGAAGGGTTTTTGTGGGTCGCCCATGACTGCAGAGGAACTGCAGCGTTGTCTGGGTGCGGAACCCTACCGATTGATCCCGCGGTGCGTCATCACACAATCCTCGGGGAAGCAACGAGTGATTGACGACGCCTATGTTGGCTTGCAATCTGAGCGTTCCAGTGATGCAAACAAGCTCACCCTCTGCTCAGCGTTGCGACCGGCCCAACACCTGCAGTATGCCTACGCCTTTGGGAGATCACCCAACTGGGAGGCAGAAGAATGGGAGTCAGGAGGTGAGGATTGGCCGGACGCCTATCGTTTTTGCCCTATGAGTTGGGATGAGGCCTTATGCTGCATTGTGGCTTTCTTCCATCATGAATGGCAACAACCAGCGTTTATGATTTATACAGGTTTGCTATTTGGTCTTCCTCTTGCGGTCACATCATTCAATCGATACAGTCGTTTTGTGGAGGCTTTATCACGTCGATTTGCCTTTTGTTTGACCAGTCTGTATTTTGATGATGCTCACTTGACAGACCGCAAATCGTGCCGGGGATCAGGTCAGAGAGCTTTGCAGACTCTCAACACCCTTTTGGGTACACCATTTTCCGAGGAGAAATGTCAGAAGATGCAGAGTACCGGCACATTTTTGGGCCTGGATCATGACTTCAGTCAAGTCCATTTGAAGGGTCTGGTTCAGTTTTGGGCCCGTGAACGCATCGAGACCAAGCTGCTTCATCTCATGCAAACTGCCGAGGAATCCGGCAAACTGCAACCAGGGGTGGCAGCCAAGCTCTACGGTATCGCCAACTTCTTTGAGCTTGGCCTGTGGGGGCGTATTGGCTGCGGTGGCTTGGCCCCAATCAAGCACAGACAGCAGGAGCGCTCTTCAGAGTTAACTGAGGAGTTGCGCCAGAGCTTTGACCTGCTACGCACTGTCATCACCACCCGTCCCTCTCGCCACATTGAGATCTGGCCACAGGCAGGGCTCCGCTTCCTCGCTGCTTCGGATGCTGCGTTGGAGAGCCCAGGTCAGGGGACTGGGGGCTTTTTGGTGGTGTGGCATGACGATCACAGGCAACACCGGGAAGCATTTGTTTCTCTCATTCCCCCATTGGTGTACAGCCTATGGGAGCCTGGTGACAAGAAGATTGCCCAGTTAGAGCTGCTGCAAGTGCTCTATGCCTTGTTTTCTCGGCCGGCCAGATTTCGAGGCAGACGAGGGCTCTGGTTCATCGATAACACGGCAGCGTTGATGGCATTGATCCGAGGTCGTTCTGACAATGCAGATTTAGAGCATATGTCACGGTTGATCCATATTACTCTTTTTGGTCTTAGGGCTTGGTTTTTCTGGGAGTGGATCCCTAGCAAGGCCAACTGGTCTGATGAGATCAGCCGTGAAGGCCTCCAGGCAACATGGCACAAACGCCATGGGTTCACCACGCATTTTGCATTTTTCCCCTTCGAGATTTGGTCTCTACCACTTCCCGCGTTTCTCCGGGTTGTGGAGTTTCTCTGAGTGCTTTGGGATGAAGTGCATTGGGAGAGATTCAACCTGTGTAGCCTCCTGAGTTTACAGGAGCGCGGAACAGGGTGTACGGATCCAACCAGTGCTGCTGTGCAGGAGACTACCTGCACAGCGTTCCAAAGCACTATCCTGCGAGGAGCAGGTTGAGACCGCACGAAGAGTTTGGGAAGAAAAAGCCATGCGGATGTGAGCCTGGACATAGTGAACCGTTTAAGTGTATATGCTTTACATCTCACAACTAATGTATGTATGCATCGTGTTTGGCAGGCACTGGGTGTGCATTATCATTAGGGTGAGTATGTAAGCTGATGAATCCATTTTGGCTCAAGTCTGAGCCAAACTGGCTTCATCGTTCTTTCTTTTCCCTCCCTTCCCTCCCTATGAGGTAGGACTCCGGTGGAGTATCCTCCCTTGTAGGGGATCACATCATTGAGGATGCTGATCTCTACGTGGAGTTCCACGACTGTAGCACTGGGCGGGAGAGATTCAACCTGTGTAGCCTCCTGAGTTTACAGGAGTGCGGAACAGGGTGTACGGATCCAACCAGTGCTGCTGTGCAGGAGACTACCTGCACAGCGTTCCAAAGCACTATCCTGCGAGGAGCAGGTTGAGACCGCACGAAGAGTTTGGGAAGAAAAAACCATGCGGATGTGAGCCTGGACTCAGTGAACCGTTTAAGTGCATATGCTTTACATCTCACAACTAATGTATATATATATATATAAGTATAACTCAAACAACTCACACCCCCTCGCACACGTCTCCATGTTGTATATTGTCCTCATTTACGCTTCATGTTGCTGTGCAGGATCGATCCAGCACTACCATCAGACTGCTGCTGAAGGCGGGATCCAGCACTTCGTGTCATTGGGGATGGGTCAAAACCTACTATACCATTTGGGTATGCATATCAGTTTACCAGCTATTTTGGTGTTCACCAAAAAAAGTACAAAGGTTTGACCCACAGCCATTTGTTGATGAAAGGGCATGTCCGAAAGATTTTTGGAATCCCCAAAGTGAAACTCTACTGGACATGACTTGCTGCAACCTATACAAAATTATGCAAAGCGACAGTAGTTGTTTGTAGTTGTTTAGATCTCTGAGACTTGAAACCTTTGGGATACTGGGAGGGTCAGATGTTGATTCTGCCCAGGATTGGGTGTCGCACGAGCTGGTGAGTTTTGCTGCTGCCTTCGTTCTAAAGGAATGGTTAGGCTACGATGTGGAGCTGGTCCGACTGGCGATGCGGCCTCAGATTGTCATTGTGGAACCAGAGTGAATTGCAGCGGCAGGAGTTTTGTATAATTCTCATGGATTCTCAACGTGTCATCATCATGATCCACCTAATCATTCTCTATCCTCCTCATCCTCCTTCTTCTCATCCTCCTCATCCTTCCCCTCCTCCTGCCCTCAGAATCACAATCTCATACCCTCTGGTAATTTAACATAGCTGTTAAAAATGGCCATAGAAATAGTGGATTTACCCATGAAAAATGGTGGATCTTTCCATAGCTATGTTAGTTTACCAGAGGCTAATCATCCTTGTCGCATCTTGTCGCGTTTTCTCAATGGCTGAGGTCAGTGCCAACCACCGAAGAAAATGCCGACCGAGAAAGAACCTTGAGGGAAGGTGCGCCCAACGACACCCAACGACACCCCATGGAAGCCATTGGAAACCTGTCCCCTGTGGTACAGCAGCTGTGGACCTGTGATAACCTGTTCAGGAATATGGGATGTGGACCTTGAGAGCTGGATCGAAATCCAGAATGCCGAGCACAGGGATGTGATGGGCAGTTTGCTGGAACCAGTCATCCCCATTGGCTACAGTGGGCGTTCAGGTGCACAAGTGGGATCAAATGAGAATGATGGGATCAGCTTGAAAAACACGCACGCAAACGCATGGATAGATATATAGGTAGATAGATAGATAGGTAGATAGATAGATAGATTGATAGATTAGATAGATTAGGTAGGCAGGTAGGTAGATAGATAGATATGATTGAATACCTGTGTGTATAATGTGTAGACATAATGTTTATGGATATAATACTTGTGACGGGGTGTCTCTACCGCATTCCAGCACCCTGCAGCTTTTTTTGGCAGGTCTCTATGTCATGCCATATGTCGTGAACGAGGAAAAGTACGCTGATTGGCACAAATTTTATGCAAAGCCAGGACTGCTGCGAGACCCACAGCTGAGGACAATTTGCACAAATGCTATAATGTACTCTAGGCATTTCTGCGACAATTCTTTGGCGCTTTTCATATTCATGTATATATATATATATATTAATGTATATCATATGCACCTTTCGACCTCAAGCAGATGCATCTATTTCCATTTCCATTTCATAGGCTATAGTTTTAACTTGCTTGTGATTGACTTGCTGGTGCCTTGCAGCCCTCTGAAGAGTTGTTGGCTCGTTTGTTTCAGCAGGGCCTGCCTCATTTGATATTGTTTATTGCTTTTGTACATCATGTGGCAATCATTTAGTTTTTTTGAGGACTTTCTTGAAATGTTTTGACGCCAGCATCATCCAATTTTTCTTTGCTATTCCGAATCGACCACTGTTTTTGGGATAATTTTGGGTACCCAAAGTTTGGAATTCTTGGCATTCAATGGAAATTTACCTAGTACCAATTGAATCCATTGAGAGAACCACCCCCTCCTGAGATACCCAGATTTTGGATGTTTACGATCTGGTTATCGTTATCTGGTTCTTGAGCCGGAGGACTTGCCGTGTCATCAGGCTTCATGCAGGCCAATGAAACGTGGCTTCGGGAATTCCTGGGCGACAAATTCCCGGTTTGTGACTGGGCGACGATCATCCAGCTATGCCAGCTATGCCAAGGGGTTCCAAATGGTTCCAAGCTGCAAAAGTCCGGCGATATTTTTTGTGTCTAAGGCAAGCATCGCGACTATCCTTCTTGTGGAACTGGAGGTCTTGAGGGCTTCTGGGTTCCTGATCATTGTATGGAGAACGTTTCCTCGTGTATCTTGGCAGCAGGTTGGTGTTAATACCGATAATGGTACTACGACACATCAGCTATTATGTCCCAGACTTGGTTTAAGTTTAAGGATGTTTAAAGATGTTTAAGGAAAACCTATGGGAAACAGCTATAACATGTTATGAAATGTTTTGACTTCCCACGCATCAACCCAGGTATTGTGGTGGAAATGGGCGAGCCAGGCTGGGATGAAGGCTACTTCGAGCAGGCTGGGTGCAGGAGGTGGTTGGGGAGAGCCAGCCAAAGATCGATAGATGGATAGTTGGATGGATGGACAGACAGACAGACAGGCACGCAGGCAGGCAAACAGACAGACAGACAGACAGACAGACAGACAGAGATAGATAGATAGATAGATAGACAGACAGACAGACAGACAGACAGACAGACATATATCATATAACATGTGTATAATTTATAATTTATGAATGAGGAGAGAGAGAGAGAGATAGAGATAGATATAGAATGATATAGAGACAGAGATATAGATCGAGATAATACACAAATAGATGGATGGACGGACGGATGGAGGGATGTTGCCCAGGGTTATATAGACCAGGCTTGAAATACCAAGGTCATTCCTTTTATAATATTCCTTTTTCTCTGTTCATTTGACAGGGTTTGATGTGCAAAGCTTGTACGAATGGGCTCGTTGTCGGTTTCTTTGCAAGTTTGGTCCGGACACTGTAGGTGATCAACAACCTTAAGCTGCCGATGATCTTTGCATATCTTGGAAGTGAAGGCCTCGCAAGACGTCGCCTCGAATTGGAAACCTCTCAGGAGAAAGCAGCTTGGCAGGTGGGGGAGAGTGAAAGTCATGTCGGGCAAAAGGCGAATTGTTGCACCCTGATCATGCAGAACGCGTGAGGCATACGGTAGATATCCATAGATATCCGATGAGGCTGTAGGGCTCTTGTTTTTTTTTTCCATGGCCCTGCCATACTTCATCGTGCTTCATTGCATTTAAATATTGTGGCGCTATGGTGAGCTACGTTACTGTATATACCATGTTGCTACCATTGCATAACATGGCACAAAGGTGTTCCACTCACCAATATTCACTATTCTGTTTCATTACTTTTCATTGTGGCCGATTTGCGTTCAAGCCCAAGCAGGGTACCATGCAGAATCAGCTGCCCTTTCGATTGGCTTTGAGGTTGTGTGGTACTCATGGTCGTCCAACTGGGGTGCTGACTTCTATGGCGGTGTTCGCATCTCTTTGCCAGATCCTGCGAGCACTTCCGTGATACAGGGCTACTGGAACTATCCCAATGGGACATTGGCGGTAGATTATCCGGATGTTGTACTGCTCAAGTTGCTGTCCAGGAAATTGTTTCCCAAAGCCCCAGAAGCATATTGGATGCTGAGAAACTTCAAAATCGAGCCGCGAGAGCTTTTTGAGCTGCTGGGCACGACTGGCACAAGTAGTGAAGCGGAACGGCTCGCTGCGGCCTGCCAGTGGCTCAAGACAAAGCATAGCAGACACTTTTCGGCAGATAGGGCTTGTTTTTTTTCGGGGTCCCAGGTGGCTCGCTGTTTCGATGCGGGGTCCCACAGTATGTTTGCGTTTCCACTCGAAGCGGGTCATACTCGAGTGCTGTCAGTTGGTTCCGAGATGTTCCAAGTAGCTGCTGACTTTGAGCCCAACTTGGCAACACGACACTTTCGACTCTGTGGTATAGATGTAGGGGATGAGCTAATGTTAGCATTGTTAGCTAGCTGGCTTCACTGCTCACCTTCTCAAAACATCATACCACCAACGGCAGTGCCGTTGCGAACTCTTCAGCATGGACATGGACAGACTATTCCCCGTCCATAGTTGAACTTTCCTACACTAGGAATCACCGACTGGGCCCCTTCATGTACCAGAAATGCTTCAGACACTGCCGCTTCTTGGATGCCTTGGCTGTTGCACCCTTTGGTCATCACTGGTTATCACTGGTCATCTGGTGGCTCTTTAAGCAGTGTATTGATCACCATTCGAAGCTTTCCAGCTTCTACCTGACTGCAGGGGAAGATCATTTCAAGATAGCTAAAAGTGGATAAAAGTGGTATAAGAATGTACAAGATTATATTCAATTATTAAATTATGAGCAACTAGTGCTTGTGCAGATCGCACATGCATTGCAGCAATATGGCAGCAACCTTGCAGGTTTTTGACCGGAGCGCGGGTTCTTGCTCCATGACCAGCAAGCGAGAGAAATGCTTCTCCGAAAGTAGCACCATCGATAACTCCAAGACTGTGATACGCCTTGGACGGCGGGATTGGCTTTCTCATGACTTGATGCGCTCGGTCGCGGGCCTTCTGTTGTCTGAGAAGCTGGGCTACTCCGTGCGATACATGGATGTGAGTGCCATTAGTGCCAAAGAATCTGGGCGAGAGAAGTGATCACTCCGTGGGGAAGGAATATCCTATCAATCGATCAATATGAAAATGAGATGCGGCCGCTACGCCATCGCCCGTGATATCCCGTTATTTAGGTCCCGTATAGCAACGCCCAAGAAAGATATCTAAATTGAAATCCTACTAGAATACTGGTAATTGCTGTACTTGTAAATTATTGTTCTATTGTTCGGGCCGGCTTGCTACATACTTAATGTACTTGTCTACACTCGTGCCAAGCATGTGCCGTTTTTTCTTTGAAAGGGCCCACCCTGACTCATGTGATGCTCTCAAAGCTCCAAGACTGGCAGGAATGGGTTCGGATCCTTGAAAGCAACGAGATGGACGCAGAGATGGAAAGTTGGCAGGTGGACATCTACAACGACTTGTAGCTTGAAGAAAAACTGGGAGGAGAACGCACGGCTGTGGTGGCTCTGCACAAACGACACTGTATCAACCAAGGACAATACTCCAATGATCTCCCATGCCACGCGTTGCCATGCTAAGGACCTCTCTTGCAGGAAACGGCGTCATTGCCACTCCAACAGAAATTGGCTGGGTTGGTCGTGAAGGGCTTTTCTTCATGCCGGGTTTGGTGGCTTCAGACATCACTTGGGCGGTCGACTTCTATAAATTTTACGTGCCTCGGTTGCACGTTATCAAGCAAATCTAGTCAATCTCGTTGGGTTGGATTTTCTGGATAAAATACAATCGAAATAACATGCGCATGCACACACACACATGCACAAAGCGTAAATGATAGGGATGCATGTGTGTCCGCAATCATGTTTCCACAGAAAATCACACACACACAAGAGACACCTACACACACACACCTACACCTACACCTACACCTACACCTACACCTTTTTGATCCTATTTGCATACATACATATACATACACACACACACACATATATATATATATAATATACACATTTAAGGGCTGCCGCCCCGGCCGCCCACCCGGGGCATGTATTTCAATTCTGACCCAGCGGTGTCTGAAGCTGATTTGCACGTGCTTTCCGGGGCCATGGCCTTCGGGGGTGCGGATACCCTGGGCGCTGGTGCGTTCTGGGCGATCAGCAGATCAGTTTTGGAGGCTGCAGGGTTGGAAAGGGACGAGGACAGAAAGACCATAAGAAGAAGAAGAAGAAGAAGAAGAACAAGAACAAGAACAACAACAACAACAACAACAACAAGAACAAGAAGCAAGAACCAGAACAAGAACAGCAAGAAGAACAAGTTTGCTATATTTGAGTTCCGCAGGGTAAGTTTGTCCAATCGCAAAGAAGTTCAGGATTAGATTGGTGGGTTTCCTGGAATCCATAAGAGAACTTGGCCGGGTCATAGTTGGCGATCCCTAGTGATCTTTTTGGCATGGCGAACCAAAACCACCCAAAACGGACTAAACATGCAGAGTATGCTCAAACACCCGTGCTCAAGCAACAGTCTTGAGCCATGGTTCGCTAGCCCGAGTTTTGCTGTATAACAGGGACAATCTTCTTGTGTTTCTGGATTTCGTGTTTCAAATAGGGGCTTTTTCCATTCTATAAACCACCCATGGAGCAAGACTTAGACAGATTTACACAACATTTTGGTGTATAAAATGGATAATCTTCTAATGTTTTTGGAATTTGTGTTTCAAATACTGGATTTTTCCGTTCTATAAACCAGCCATGGAGCAACAGTTAGACAGGGTTATCCCACATTTTGGTTTTTAAAATGGATAATCTTCTAATATTTCGGGATTTCGTGTTTCAAATAGTGGGCTTTTCCATTTTATCAACCACCTGTTCTGCCTACAGAGGCAGAGCTCACATTGCACATTTTCCAGTAAAATCTACCTAGGAAAGCGTTGGCCATGTAATTGTCCCAAAATCTACCTGGTAAAGCGTTGGCCATGTAACTGTATAAAGATCTACCTAGGAAAGCGTTGGCCATGTAACTGTCCCAGAATCTACCGGGTAAAGCGTTGGCCATGTAATTGCCCCAAAATCTACCTAGGAAAGCGTAGGCCATGTAACTGTCCCAAAATCTACCTAGGAAAGCGGCCATGTACCTGTCCCAGAATCTACCTGGTAAAGCGTTGGCCATGTAATTGTATCAAAATCTACCTGGTAAAGCGTTGGCCATGTAACTGTCCCAAAATCTACCTAGGAAAGCGTTGGCCATGTAACTGTCCCAGAATCTACCTGGTAAAGCGTTGGCCATGTAACTGTCCCAGAATCTACCTGGTAAAGCGTTGGCCATGTAACTGTATCAAAATCTACCTAGGAAAGCGTTGGCCATGTAATTGTCCAAAAATGATCAAAAATGTACCTGTTGGCCATGTAATTGCCCAAAAAATCACCTAGGAAATGTTGGTGAAATCTGACATAAACCCAGGTAGGGCTTTTGAAATTCATTGGTAGCACCTTGTAGCAATTCTGTTTGACAAAAGATGTTGTTTACAAAATCGATGTTCCAAATGTGATGTCGTGTCTTCACTTGAGAAATAATTTTGCTTTAAACTTCTCCCAGGGTTTGTGTGACACGGAGACAAATTTCCTACTTTGCCATGCGATTCCACAAGGGCGCTCAGAGATGCTCAGAGCATTTATTGAGTTTGGAAACAGTTTCAAAGGCATAGGTTTGGCATTGCCAATTTCAGCTGCAGCCATGCAGACAATGAAGCGGCTGTGTTGCGTGTGCGAGCGGACGGTTGGCTTCAACCGCCCAAAACTGACGGAGTCAGAGACCCTTGGGCTGCACAGCAGTGGCGACGGATTCATTGCACCCTTCAAAGTCATGCTTGCATAAAAGTTTATTCCTCTTGGTGCAGCCTGGGGCTTCGTCAACTTCTATAGGCTTGTCCATGGATTCCCCATTTAGAGAAGTTTCCCACGCCTTTCTGTTAAAGTTGTGGGACTACTATAGTTAGGACGTTCGAGTCAGCGACAGAGCTATGTTTTCAAAATATTTTTATGATTTATTTATGATATTTTTTTTATGAATGCAATTTATGATTTTTTTTTATGTTTTTTTTAATGATTTTTTTTAGATTTTTTGATGGGTTCCGAGGGTTTTGGCAAGGTTCCAGCCTCCAAGTGGTGCAAAATGCAGCAAAATCAATGGTTTTCCTTAGTTTTTCAAGCTTTCACCAAGCAAAATGATGGAATTCCAGGAGTTTTTGCTAGTTTTGGAAGGTTTTGGCAGGAAACCAGGTGGAAATCATAAAACACTCATTTAAAAAACATATATTTTATATAAAAATTATGATTTTTTTTATGATTTTAAAAATGATTTTTTAATTTTTTTTTGATGGGTTCCGAGGGTTTTGGCAAGGTTCCAGCCTCCAAGTGGTGCAAAATGCAGCAAAATCAATGGTTTTCCTTAGTTTTTCAAGGTTTCACCAAGCAAAATGATGGAATTCCAGGAGTTTTTGCTAGTTTTGGAAGGTTTTGGCAGGAAACCAGGTGGAAATCATAAAACACTCATTTAAAAAACATATATTTTATATAAAAATTATGATTTTTTTTATGTTTTTTTTAAAAAATGTTTTTTTTTTAAATGATTTTTCTTAATGATTTTTTTTAGATTTTTTGATGGGTTCCGAGGGTTTTGGCAAGGTTCCAGCCTCCAAGTGGTGCAAAATGCAGCAAAATCAATGGTTTTCCTTAGTTTTTCAAGCTTTCACCAAGCAAAATGATGGAATTCCAGGAGTTTTTGCTAGTTTTGGAAGGTTTTGGCAGGAAACCAGGTGGAAATCATAAAACACTCATAAAAAAAAGCATAAATTTTATATAAAATTTATGATTTTTTAAATGTTTTTTTATGATTTTAAAAATGATTTTTTGATGGGTTCCAAGGGTTTTTGGCAAGGTTCCAGCCTCCAAGTGTTGCAAAATGCAGCAAACACATATGTTGAAACCAGAAATCATAAAAAAGACATAAATGAAATATAGCAATAAATTGAATTCATAAAAAAACACCTATTGAATTCTTAAAAAAGTTATTAAAAAAACTAAAAAAAAATAATCGTTGATTTTGGGCTTCTCGCTAGTTTTGAACGTCTTAATACTATAGCCTCATCCACAGAATCGTAGCTCAAGCAACCACTCCTGAGGAGGGGCTTGCTCAGTGAGGCCAGCCTGCTGAGCAAGAAAGCAGAGGTAGAGACCAAATCAGTGCGGCTGTGCCATTGCTCGGTAGCCCATTGATTCTATCCTATCACTCCTAGCAAATCCTTCCAGTAGACCCTAAAACAATTTTCAAGCTCATCACTGTGAATCATGGAGGAGCTCAAAACATCTCAAAATCATGCCGGGGCCATCCCAGGCCCGCTTTTTAGCTGTGCGATTATTGCAGGAGCACCAGCAGCATTGAGGGCCCTGGTGCGATTTTTACACTGGTGGTCCGCCAGCTTGGCGATCCAGGGAATGAGGATTCGGGGCCCGGTCCTCGCAAAGCCCGGAGAACACCAGAAGGCGATGAGGGCGCTGAAAGGGCTTGACGCATCAATCCTCGGGGAAGACTTCAACCAGCATCTTGGCTTGCACTGCCATGCCGTGTCGCATCATGATTGCCAACCTTTGCACCTTTGCCTGGTCCCTTTGAAATCTTTTGAATTCATCTTCTCCATCCTCAGCAGCCCAGGTACAAGCACGGATCAGGGCACTTCGACCTCGACCAGACATCACTGTATGCCCAGTGGATTTCTAGGAAACTGGCAGAGTCCCGCCGGGGCAGAGAGTTTTGCATCCTGTTCCTTGACGGAAGTTGATAGAGTGTCAATCTGTGCCAGCTCCATGTTGCACCTACGCGCTTGGAGATGTTTTGAGCACAGGTTTGCAAATCCACTTCCCATGCATCTTCCTCTTATCCTGCAATATCCTGCAGACAATTTGAAAATTGAATTTGAAGCTGCGACCATGACCACACCAGGCGTTAGTGAATGTTTATTTTGCTTCAGCCCATTGCATCACCGCATGTGAAGACCTGCGTTGACGTCACCCCACATCAAATGGTTTCATACCACATGGGTTCACATGGCGGATACGACATGTTGAGCTGGCATCTGGTTTTTCAATGCGGCTTGGGTGGCTCTTCCCCATCAGGTTCCTCAGATCTTGCTGCAACCACAGCGTAGCTCACCACATGATGAAGTTGGCACTGGGTGGGGCTTGGACTTCGACAAGACCGTGGCACGGCGCCTGCTCACGGAGCTGCGGGCAGAGCATCGCTTTGGTCGCGGATATGGCTGCAGAGTGCTTCCATTCATCCGTGGCAGTAAGGATGACCCAGAGCCCCCTGGGTGTAAAGCATTTGGTGTGGGTCGACGCTCCAAAGACTTGCAACTGCACTGAGGGGCTTGGGAGTTGACGTCATGAAGTATGGTTCTCAGACGACATGCCATGGAATGATTTGAGCTTAGGATGTTTCCGGGTCACATTCGTTGTCGCATAGTGTCACAATGGCTAATTTGTAGGCAGCTGCTGCATATCAAATTGCCGGGAAAGAATGCCATGCAAGCATTGAAATTGTTGAGCAGCACGTTTGGCGTTCACCGTCTCTCAGCATCCAAAGTCCAGCATGCTGCGCTGAGGATGCTGCAATCATCAGCCGCGGAGTTGCCTGGATGGACGGCATTCGGAAGCGGATGCGAGCCGTGGGTGAAGATTCTGATTTCAGGTGGCTTCAGAAGTATCTTGGACAGGGTTTGTGCCATGGCAGCCAGGCGGCAAGCATTCTGAAGCTATTTGATGAAATGGTCATACCGGAATCCAGTGTTCAGCACCCATGAAGCACCCATGAAGCGGTAGTGATTCGGAGCGGCGCAAACGCCATGTGAAGACTGTCTTTTCATCCTTTTCAAGTGGCCTGGCATGGGGCATTCAACATGTTCCCTCACAATGCGCTGATGTTGCAAGGATTCAACATGTTCCGCACGACGTTTGAAGCACATGATGGCGGGATTCCATTGAAGAAACAAAAAGGTTCCACATGATGGGAAGTGACAGCGAGCAATCAATTAAGTCGGGGCGGTTCCGAGTGCCCCAAACACGGTTTGCAAAACATCCCCGCCCCCTTAACCTAGGTTTTCGGGGGGGGACCTGACAATATGTAACTTACATCTTTCGGGCTGTTTTTAGGGGGAGGGGGTTAATTGTAAGTTAAAATCTCTAAGGTACCAAAAATGCACGTTTGGAAGGGTGAAAAATGTAAGTTAAAACCCCCCTAGGCATGGTCCTGGTCAAAGCAAAATCAAGGTACTCCCCAGGAATACACCACACACGTAGTGACTATGGAAATGGGTGGGGAGAAAAATTTAACTTCCATTTTTCCCACCACCCCGGAAGTGGGAACAACACTTTTTCTCTGACGCGACCCCCCTGCTCTTGCTGGCGTCGGCGGATATTATATAATACAGGCGCATATAATATACTTATACAGTACAATCTTATACACATGCTTTCATATTTAATTTCCATCGCCATTGTGAGACTGCCACGGTATGGTGACCCTGCCAAATAGACAGTGTGCCAAGGAAGGTCCAGAAGCCAGGTTGCAGAATTTCACCGTTTTCGACCATGCAGAACCTTGGCCTTGTCGAAAGCTGCAGAAACCAAGGGTGGCCAACCAATGGGGTTCCAGCAAGCCATCTTTGATTACCATGACCAGAGGGGTCAATTTTGTTCACGCATATTCAATGTTGAATGGTTCCTATTATTGGATGTGAGGATGGAGGGGGTTGCGGGAGTTCTTCCTGAAAAACAGGGATGACATTTACGAAAACTTTAGAAACAACCTCCATTAATGTTTTGGATTTGTGAAAATTGTGATTTAACACTTAATGAATTATTTGCATATATTTGCCTCCATTTTTTTCCTGCCAAGATGCTTCCACGAGAGTTTTTTTGGACCTAATTTTTTGAAGTAACTACCTCCAGTAGCAGTAGCGCAAAATCAGTCAGAATGCAAACCACCACTGCTGCCTCTTCCAGATAAAAATAGTTGATTATGGTGCAAACAATTTCCCAACGTTTTCTTCTAATGCATATATCTCGCCCCCTGTCAGCCATTATCAACTATGATAAACTATCATCAACTACCATCAGCTACCATCAGCTAGGGTCAACTATCATCAACTACCATCAACTATCATAAACTATCATCAGCTATTAGCAACTATCATCAACTATCATCAATTATCACCAAGCACCATCAACTATCATCAGCTACCATTAGCTATCACCATTTATGTATCATCAGTTACTATCAAGTATCATCAACTACTCTCAAGTATCATCAACTATCATTAACTTTCATTGGCTATCATCAACTATCATCAACTACCAACAGCTATCGTTAAGTATCACCAACTATTATCAACTATTATCAACTATCACCTACTATCATCAAGTACCATCAAGTATCATCAACTACTCTCAACTATCATTAACTGTCATTAACTCTCATCAACTATCATCAACTACCATCAACTATCACTAAGTATCATCAACTACCATCAACCATCATCAACTATCACCAAGTACCATCAACTATCACCAAGTACCATCAACTATCATCAGCTACCATTAACTATCACCAACTATCTATCACCAACTACTATCAAGTCTCATCAACTACTCTCAAGTATAAACAACTATCATCAACTGTCATTAGCTCTCATCGACTATCATCAACTACCATCAACTATCGTTAAGTATCACCAACTATTGTCAACTATTATCATCTATCATCTGCTATCATCAAGTACCGTCAAGTATCACCAAGTATCATCAACTATCATTAACTGCCCAAAAATTGGGAGCAGTGGTGTGGTGGTGCCCATCGGCTGGGTGTGGTGCCCATGGCTGAGGAAGCCTTGAGCCGGATGAATGGTGCTTCGTTCTGCGCCAACCTCGGCCCTACCGATCCGGTGCCGCCTTGGTGTGTAGGAGCCCATGAAACATGGGATTTTTCAGAGCTTCCCATGAGTTCCCCCGAATTTCTGAAGGGACCCCGATGTTGAATTGGCATTGGGCCACAGGCTGCGGAGGTTTAGGCAGGCAGTCAACTTTTCAACACGGCACTTCCCTACCAAGTGGAAAGAACGCTGGTTCTTGGCAGAAGATGCGCTCATGTGCGATCAAAAACTACCACTGACGTGTCTGAAAATTGTGTACACCATGGTATGCCACCTGAATGGCATTTTTGATAGGGATAGTGATGATAAAGAACAACAATTCTTGAGACCAAGTACACTGGCCAACCCTTGGTGGATGCGAATGCTAAGGATGATTGATAACTATCATTTGAATATTGATGGATATTTTGGATGCGGATGGCCAATGTCAGTCCCTCAGGAGCCTTCAGCAGCAGTTGGGAGCCTCCACTCTGTGGCACTTCGCCATGCATTGAAGGAGTGATGGGCAGTCCTCTGTGGGCTCAAGGCCTGGGATACGATTTGGATGGTGAAACTCCGGTGGAAAGGGGGTTAGGTCCCCTAAAAGATCGAAAAAGAGATGCATAATAATGGCATAATAGGGTACACTTACCATGGAATGATCTTGTACGATCTTGTATGGCAATGTCTAAGTTTTTCATATTGAACGTGACGTGATGATTCTGGACATTTAAAAAGGGGGCACTCCGTTTTTAAACTTTACTACAGGCAGCTGGCCTGTAGAAACTGATAGGCCAGCACCCGGGGACAGTAAAGGTACTGTCGATGATTGGACTTTCAACATCTTTCAACGGGACGTTGTGACACAATGTGGGATGCAGTCTTGCTTATCATCTTGCTGAGTTCTAGAATTGGCTATGTATATATATATATATCTTGGAGGCACTTTTGAGCAGCTGGCGGCCAACCACAATCTGAGTGCCTCAGATGAGATTTGTGCATCCAGCTTTGACTTTGTTAAGGAAAGAAGTACTCTTTCGAATAGTACTTGTCAGCTTGTGAAGCGGGGATAATTACCGATAACATTACGCAAAAACATGTTTTCAGATACTGGCATATTGGTACCAATGCCAAAATGGCAATAGTTGTGCTTGCTGTACAGGGTTCGTAGATGAAACTCCAGTGGAAATCTGGATTGATCCATAGGCAGGCAGACATACAAAGATACTTGAATGACCTCGAATGGACATGGGTCATTTGCAGTAAACTAGGAGGACATTTGCCACGGCAGCATCCAGGAACTTTTACCGAGGCATCGCTTTTGCATATTACGGAAACAAGCAATTGGAGATCCTGAACAGCCTCCGCAGCAAGGGAAAGAACGCCGTCTTCTACGGATGCGCTGCTGCATTGTTCTGGACAGTGTTTTTTTCTTCCTCTCCCTTAATTTCGAGGTTATATTTGTCCATATCCCTTGTTTCCGGACAATGTGGTAAACCCAACACAAAACCATCCCCAATATTGGGTTATTGCCCATAAATGGGTGGCTTATCCATCCCCACATGGTAGTTGTTTATGATTGTTTATGGCTGGGCGCCAAGGATACCTTCCCTCGGAATTTGCGTCGAAATTGGGCATCTCGTAGCCTGGTGCAGCAACGCCTGGGGCGTTTAGGAATCGGTTGGTGATTCCTGGTGACTCCTGGTGAATATAGCACCCCCAAAAGTTTGAAAAGTTGGACATCGGGAAATTATGGGAACCTCAACCCTTGCATCTTGGACATCAGGTCCGTAGGCTCCAGCCCTTTGTTTGCTGCAAATCTGAATCCTGCGGTAGGAAATGGTTGGCTCAACCTGCCAAGCAGGCAGAAAGTCTCACAGATATTACGTGGTGTCAATTCCATTCTCCTTCAAATCTCTTCGACCCTGGTCCTTCTTGTCCGTGTGCGCAGTCAGCCCCCACTCCAATGGCACAAATAGCTTTTGAATGTGTTGGAGTGCTTTGCTGAGGCAGACTATGGGTCGGATTTCCTTTCCGGATTACAAGGTCGGGTGTGCAAGCGTCGTCGCACAGTCCCCGTATGGACCTCGAACCTGCGGCTTGGATGCACTTGGATCAGATGTACTTGGGCAAGATACATCAAGATGCCTGGTGAAGTCAGGAACCATGGAAAATCTTCCATGGATCGCGGAAGAACGTCACAGACTCCGATCAATCAATCTCTTTAACAATTTAGACACATCTGGACCGCAGGGAAAGCCAAATGGACGATACTGAGGTGATATTCCGCCCACAGTGATTTACAAGATCCGCCGCCATGATTTAGCAGTGCCCTGGTATGGCAAGCATAGCTTGTATAGTCAATTGGCTTGAAACTCGAAATGATCCATAGAAGCAGGGGATAACTTCAATCAAAGAGTCTCATCGTGAGCAAGCCACGCACAAAAATGGTTGGATAAGGGAAAGTCGGGGACAGGTCATTTTTCTTCCTGCATAGGGGTTTGGGCTGAACTGCCATCTGGCCATATCTGGCCCGTTCTCACCCTTCAGTGCGGCTCAGACATGGTTTGGTGATATTATGGTGATCTTTATTGATATAGGGAGGGGAGGGACGGGGACAGGGAAAGGGGACTCCATCCAGTCTCGCCAGATGAGGGTTTGTTCAAGAACAGGCTCTAAACACATAAGGCTGGCATAGGACTTGCACATGTGCCTGTATCCGGGCCTGAAATGGCCTCAACCTTTCTTCGGTACGACTTCGGCATCCCTTCCTAATGCAGGCAAAGGCACCTGAAGCCGCCTATGTGATCGACAACTTGCAGATTTCGCCAGAGCAGGAGTGGGGGGTTATCGGAGTTGGTCTAACCAGAACTTCCTGAAAAATCGAAGCAGCATTGCTCAGATTGAATTCCCAATGGCTTTCTTCAAATTGGTCTCACCAATGGATACTGGCGATGATGCCGGCTGGATCCTCAGGTGGAGCTCATGCTGAAGATGCATGAGGGAGGGGGCGGGAACCTCACCACTGAGCAGACCGCCTGTGAGTTTTTGAAGCAGCAGCAACTTGTTTTCAACGCTTCCGGGTACAGAACAATCGGAACATCCCCAATGATCGATCAATTTGGGTGGTTTGTTTGGCACATGCGGCATATTCCTGGGCTTCAGGCTTGCAAAATTGCAAAATTGCACATAACATGTCAACATCTTTGACTTTCTACACGACGCTCTCCATTCTTTTGGGTGAGGCCAGATGTTGTGTTGAAGGCCGTACCTGAGTGCATCACGAATCCAATCCAGAACCCGAAGATTGGAGATGTTGCACCTCGTCAAAGTCCTGGCCGTTTCAGTTTGGAAAGGGGTTTTAGCACCGCCATTCTCATGCAAAGGTCGGGCTTCATTGCTGGCCAAATTTGTTTCCTACTGTTTGACCCTATTTGATCCTAGTTCAATCTATTTCATGTCGCAACAAATCCCTGCAATGGTACTAGCATGAGCATCATTTCACGTTGATTATTTGGAATTCCATTATATAATTATAACATATTATAATTTAACTATACAATAATATGTGTATGATTATGTATGTTTGTATGACTGCGGGGTATGTTCTATCAAGACATGATATCAAGCCAAATCAAGTGACTGCACAGACAGTACTTTGATGTACTTTGACAATTTGTAAGATGTTTTTCTGTGTGTGCGTTGTTATATTTGTCATTTGGGACTGACTTACTGGACCACACTGGAGCCCATTCTCCAACGTCATGATGGGCATCCCAAGAGCTTAACTATAAAAAAGCTCTCGTTAAGATACACGGAAGACACGTAAGACCCACATAAGCAGGTAATCATATGGAATATAATGGAATATCATGGAATCATGGATAGCTCTTGGCTACAATATTGGCAGAGCTATCACACCGACTCCTACCATCTCCATCCATCTCCTACTGATCTTTCCTAACTTGTGCAACCTGCAGGTCTGGAATGCAGCGGAACTCTCCTGTCAACAACTCTTTTGCCCCAAGTGCCTTGCTTGAAATCTCTGAGAGTCAGATGGAGGGGTCAGTGCGGCAGCACGCGAGCCGTTCTACAAATATATACACCTTTCAAGCTAAAACATGCTAAAACCTTAGTAAGGAGCATGCCACACTGGCCTCGCTGAATCAAACGCAGAAGCAAAACAAAAGATGTAAAGAGTAGAATAAGGATGTTGCGCAAGGTCATTTATGCGCTTATGCCACACCACAGGAGCGTAAACGCCCATGCAAATGAGACGTAGGCCTAAGATGGCGTGGGCACATCAATTTTTCAGATGTTTCGCCTGAAAACACTGCGAAATACCGCGAACTCATTGCAGGAACCAGGTCCTCATCTATGACAGCGCCGCTGGTTTGATTCGCTGCCGGGAGTGCAAACAGGCGTGCTGGAGTCTAGACAGTTAGCTTCGGCCATGGGCCACACGCCGTGGAATCCAGTGGATACGGATAGCTTGTTGGAGCCCTTTGAATTTTCATAGTTACCAGGTAACTTACAGTACCAGGTAACTTACCAGGTAACTTACCAGGTAACTTACCATGTCAATTCATGTCAATTCCATGTCATAACTCATAATACGATACAACAAGTATTAACAAGTTCATTTCCTTTCTTCTTCACTTACCTTCATTTGCCGTAATTCTTGTACTCCATTTGGTTCATCATTGCCCTCATTGTCATCCGCTTATCCCTATCCATTGAGGTGGCTTCGCCATTGTTCATCCAATGGATCCCGCCAGGAGAATGCTGGCACGGTGCCTTCACCAGACCAGATGTCCTGTATGCCTTGCCCTGCGGGTTCGGAACCCGACAGCGAAGGAGCCAAGTGTCAGGCGCTTGATGCAGCACTTCCCCCTGGATCCCCCTGGTAATTTAGTCGTTTGCTATGGAAAATGGCCCATGAAATATGATGATTTTGATTTACCGATATCAAAAAAATGTGATGCTTCGCAGCTATGTGTTAAATCAAACATGGCTGGCTGGCTGGGAACCCCCAGTGTACAATGGAGGTGTTAATGGGACAATCATTATATATATAATTATAACCATGGAACTAAACAGAGGCTTTCCATTGCCATGTTTGATTGCCAGAGAGCACACGATATTTCCAAACTTCTTGCGTGCCACAAGTCCCAAGATTACCATAAAGTAGTGGGTTGAATATGGTTGAATCATCCCCAGATGGTCGGTTTAATGTGGAGAACCCAAGAATAGATCTACCATTTGCGGATGGTCTATACATGTTTATACAAACCTACCTTTCGTTGATGGCTTATACAACCCATTTATGCTGATTCTGGGGATGGTTGGTTATTGATATTATTGGGTTTACCACATGAATCCTTTGGGCTGGGGTGGAATCGGTGGAAGTTCCGTTGCTGCAAAAGCTGCAAAAGCCAGGCTTGCCCACCCGGACGCTATGCCCCCGAAGCAGCCACACCTCAGTGCCAGGCAGACATACACGCGGATGTGTATACTGTATATATATATATAATTTTTTTTATACACATATTATAATGATCTACATAATGATGTATATTGCAAGCCACTGACTCTTCAACCTTTGGTATCCTTTGGTCATCTCACTTTGGTCTATGCTGGTCAGTCAACCAGCCAGACTTCCTGTTGGGAGCCATTGAGGAAGATCAAGGCATGATGATGCCTTGTCGTTCTCTGATGCGCAGGCATGTCCGCAAGGTGAGTACAACCCTCTACGAAACCAGTCACGTTGCGCAGTGTGCCCTTTTGGGGCCCAGTGACTTGGGAAGCATCGAAGGAGACAACATGGCTACTGCATAATTCAGATCACTCAAGCCCATGTTGGGGGTTGGAGTGGTCTGTGCACATTACGATTCATATGATGTAAATCACAAGTAGAATCCATTTTGCCTATTCGGCCGCACTTTCCGAATACAATGTTTTTGCCACGTTGTATTGGGCATTACTGTACCTTAAGATCCATTGGGCCATACAGGGTGTTACTGATGCAGTCAACCGCCCGCTTCTGTCCCAGTTGCTACGGTGGTTTCAATGGTACGGGAGCGACGTCCTTTTACGCCGACGAGGGTTTTTACTTGCTGGGAAGCGATGAGGATGTAACTCATCTGATGCTTTTGATTGGCTGGGATAAATCGGATTTGTTCGGCTGGGCACTGGCTGTGAGGCCCTAAAACTTTAATGTCACAAGTATCGCTTGCCCTCTTTGTCTCTAACACGCACGAACGTACGTATACATTAGTATACATGCACATTGTATCCCACTCACTGTATCATGAACTTGCACTGAAGGTTTAGGGGATTTGCATTTGAGTCTCGCAGGGCCTTCACTACCATCAGATACCATCAGTTTGCGTGTCACCATTCCTGGATTTCTGGAGAAGGATCCTGAGTTTTGGATCTCCCGTCCATGTCCAACTCAGGTGACTCGAGAATTTGAAGCCAAGATGTCGTGACTTGGCAACACGCTTCAGATGGTTTCAGTATGTTTCAGTCTAAAAGCAATGAAGAGAGATAGAGAGAGAGAGAGAACACTTAGAACGTAATATATTGTATACATATGTATACATGTTTTCTATGTATAGTATTATATGCCCAAATAATAGATTTTACATGTTTTATCATACCCCTCAATGATTCTATGCACATGCTCCAGGACTTGCGCGGACTGCTGGCGCAGCGATGCGCCCTTCGATGCCCTTGGACCCTTCGAATGTTCTGTGCGCTCGGCGTGTCTGGGGAACAACAGCTGCCTGGTGGTGGAAGGCGAACTGGCCATGGATGGACCGCTCTGTGGAAGTTGCACCAAAGGTTCCTTGGAGAAGTTGCCTTTTTGGGATGGGGGAAGATTGATGTGGGATTGATGTGGACATTTTGGATGTGGGAACAGACCTTAAATGGGACTTTGATCTGGAGGATCTTGAAAAAGTTGGGGTGCTGGCAGTCTACTGCATGTTTTAACCTGTATGTTTCATTTTGCCAAGACCAAGAATCCTCTATGGGACAAAACTGCAAGATGAAGGCTGGGGGGACCTGAATCACCAACTGGTTGAAACCAAAAGGCCTCTTTCATTCAGATCATTCAGCAGCTGGACCCAGCCATGTGAGGCTTTCAACGCAGCAGCCCTGATGAGCCTTGCAGCCGTTGCCCACCAGATTGGCTTACTGTCACAGTCATTGTGGTGGTAACTGTTGGGGGAATGCTTGGTCTATGCATCCTCTCCTGGTCACAGGAGCACATGACAGCTGAGGTGGTGTTGGAGGGATTGAGAGTTGATGCAATTTTCACCTGCTTCTCGTTGTTTTCCGCCCACGAAGGAAGCCGCCATGGGAAATTTGCGTGGCAGCTCGGCAGCTGTATGGTTAAAGCTTTGGTTGAAAGTATGACAGGACAAGACTGTACGACTATGGCCCAAAGTTGGTCACAGATTTCTACACAGGGATGCTGACTTATGCTTTATACTTTCTGTGGGGGATGCGTGGCATGGGTCTCTGAAGTGCATCACCAGGGGCATGTCGCGTTCTCTTGACTTGTTTGTATGGAACTTGCATGGGCAGACAGTAAAGTCATCGGGAAAAAACTGGAATCCACAAGGTCTAGCATGGCGCCAGCCGCCCTAACTCTGAAAAACGGGAAGTAATACCAGGCCGTACCATCCCAAATTCCTTCAGCATGGCCACCTTGGCACGGCAAGTCATTCGGGCTTGTGTTGACATCTGGGAATACGAATGCTTGTGTTGACCTGAGGAGTGTACTCCATTGTGTTCAAGATCTTGTGCAACTTCTTTGTTCAATTGAAGGCAGTTGGTCAGGCGGGCCGCTATGCAGGGTCGAAGGGGCATGCGAATGCATGTGAGGCATTTGGGCACAGAAAGTCCATCTTTTGAGTATAGTATATTCCATCCTTTTGTTTCTCTTTTTCTGTACTTTCATATTTTGGCTGTTGAGATTCAAAGATATTATATGATATTATATCATATTATATATATATAATATATGAACATTCAGAGGGGCTTCTACATGCGCCTCCGCTGCACGGCAAGATCCACCATGGCGCCAGGTTACGGACTTGAACAGCCTCATCAAGGAGACCCCGAGACCAGAAAACAAGAAACACGATGAAACGGAGTGGGATGCCCACAAAAACACGGGAGTTCGACCAACCAAGGATGACAACCAACTACACAATGTTGAGCATATGTGCACACACACACACATATCACACATACACACACACATATATATATATATATTTCTGTTTGAAATACAAAATTAAACATATAACTCTACATGAAATACAAACATATAACTCTACAATAGGATTCCGCATAAGCAAACATGTCAATTGCACTCACTTTCATTTTAAGACATCACCATCCCCAGAATCTTCAGAACTTCATCATGAACAGCATGTCTTCGCATCTGGATCATTTGTCATTTTATATTGTTTTCAGGATCTTGGGACGGACAGCTTCAGCCGTACCATTCTCACCTCCCCGATTGCAATGTCTTTGGGCAGCTGGACAGCAGTCAGGTCCTGCGAGAATGAGATGGAGACTGATGGAGACTCCACCATTTAAAGTGCGTTTTTCACCAGGAAAAGTGCCCTTATTTGGCACTATGAGTTTATTTGGAGGATTCCAGGAATCCTCCCGGCTATCCTTCATCTCCAGCTTCATCAGCCCTGCTGAGTGATGCTTCAGCCATCTTCAGCCCTATATGCGCCAAGGTATTGGAGATGTGCTGGAGAATCCTTCCACCTCCATTTTCTCTCTGGATGCTTGGGCCTGCTATGGCCTGGTTGTTTTCTAGGCGAAGCTCGCGGGGTTGGGATCGTTAGACGATATCATCAGCAGGTTAAAGGGGTGGAACCTTAAGGGGGTTGATAGACGAGAGGTAAATTCCAAATAATCCAGGATTGTTTTTGGTAAGATGGTTGCTGAATTCAACGGGGCACCTCGAATGGTTCTGAGATGTGATTCTGCAGTCCGGTGGCCTGATTTCTTGATGCTTGAGAAGTGCACATTCCATGAACTAGAAAAGAAATAAAGTCATTTGGCATAGCATTACATTACCCTATGCCCGAAAAAATCATCCCTCTAGGAAATTTATTCAGCCCCAACTTTGGTATTTTCAAAGTTCAGGGGGTTGTCCCATGGAAACATATTCAGCGACCTTGGGGTTGCAGCCAAAGAAAAGTGTGGAGTTTCTCGGAGCGGAGTTTGTTGGAGACTTGCAAAGGGATAGACAGGACCTTGGCCACTGAAACTTTACCCAGCGATGTTTGCCGACATGGTCCCAAAATTGATTGTGGATATTCTTTGTGTACCATGTGCGCCTGGAGATTGTGCACTTTTTTGGGAATGGAAATGTATTCCGTAAAAACCTTGGCCCCAAGAAATTTAACAGGGATAAATTTGGGTACAACCCCCCGTAGGCACCGCACACGGGGATATGCTTGCCAGTGATCCACCAAGAAATAATGTAATATAATTTTGTTTTTTCCCGATTCCTATCCACCCCTCTAAGAACCCACCACTATAACCCACTGTTGGGATAGTCATAGTAAGTAGTGACCCAGGCACAGACTGAAAATACACATGGTGTCAGCGCATGGTCTCATATATCATGCGTTCTTGCTGTTTTTTCCCCAACAGAGATGCTCGAAAGTGCTATCAAGTTGGGGGAACGTTCGCTTGCCTATGAGCTTACTTCATCTTACTTCTACCTGGATATTGGGTAAGTTTCTTTTGGAACGCTATGACGGCTGAATTAATCAATTACATGATTTGTGCAAGCAAGTGTGCTCAATATACACTGTAGCTGTCTTCAAAGCTTTTGGATCCCCTTCAATAAACTATAGCATTAATATAGCTATGGAATTCCATGGGTTTCCCGTTCGGAAATGGTCCACATCCTTTTGCATGTTACTGGAGGGTAACGAGTATAACGAGTATTTGCCCAGCATTTTTGCAGAACTGGGGGGTCGCATTCGGTACACCAAGGAGTGCTTGATGATGACAGGTGGCAACAGCGTTTCCGAGAGCCACTACCTGAAAGTTTTGGGTGCCTTGACCCCTCAACGCAAACACACAGGTTTCACACAGCTTCTCTGTCTTGGTTTGAGGTAGGAGGCGGGAGCACACACACATATATATATATATAAAATTAGATATAAGGTCTGTCCGATGTATAAATGATAAATGTATGTTATGCATCCAATGTAAGGTAATGTAGTGTAAGGAAAGGTAGGGCATGGTATGGGTATTACGCACGTATGTGTCAGCATACATGCACTATATCTATATTATCACATATAGTATTCAGACACGCACGCAAACATATGTACTAGATACATGTCACATCAGTGCAACGCTTAGATGAATGAGGTGACAATCCAGTTTTCATTGTTGAAGAATCAGTTCCAGTTTTGATCCATATATGGGATCCATTTGAGCAGTGTTCGAAATCACATTTGAACACTGTTGATTGATGATTGTAGGGGAGGGGGTACATTATCTAATATATTGTGAGTTATCGCAACCCATGGATTGGGAACCTTTATTAACCAACTATATTATCATGGAATGACATGTTGATTGAGTAAACCCATATCCCCATATTGAATATATTGTTGGTGGTATTCCCCCTACAGTACCCTTCGGTGAATTAACATTGCTATGGAAAAAAACCCTTAAACAATCATCATGTTTACTGTAGAAAATATGGTAAATTCATCATTCCCTCTACATCCCGTTCTATGGTAAATCATGTTTCTGAATGGGCCATGTTCATCCATTTTCCATAGCAATGGAACAAGCACCGGAGGGATCCGGAGGGTAATAGCATCAAAGCTAGGACAAAGCGCCCATATTTTGATGGTCACTTTGGGGATGGTGGGTCCTATTGCTTTACTTACATTCATCTGGGAACCAATGAGTTTCCGTTTCCTGACAGTAGAGCTTGCATGTATTCGCTATTATGTAAATACTTTTATTCATGAGTCCTACTTACATTTACTTTCACTTGAACTTTGACTTTTACTTTTACTGCTGCTACTACCACTGCTGCTACTACTCCTCCTATTTGGGAAGCCAACTCACCTGAGGTGCCTTGTTTTTCTTACCTGCCATGCTCCTTCTGATGTTGGTCTCGGTGGCCGTGTGCACCTGGATCTGGTCGTCCTGTTGCCATCGTCGCCAGCGCTGGGGCGAAACGTCCCTGTCCTTTCGCCCCTCGGAGCCGTGCAGATGGCGGGCCCAGAGATCTGCCCGATGTAAAAAAATACGCAGACACAAACAACACACAAGCACACATATGTATATGATATTATGTTTATGTACATGCATACGCACACACACATATGTGTATATATATAATATATATAATTATATATGTACAGTATGCAGTATGCGTGTGCATACATGTGTAGATGCATACAATGTATGTTTTCTTTTGGAGTAAAGTTACATAAACTCGGGTGAAACATAAGCTTTCGGTCGTCAGTTTGTGGTGAACCCCCAAGCAAGTGCAAGCAAGTGATGTTGTGAGAGGAAATGTGAGGACCTCCTTTGAGTTCTCACAGTTTCCAAATGAAAACCAGGAATTCTCCAGAGGGGATTGATTAGTTATAAATCTATCTACAGAATCTACTGCCTCTGTTGGCTGTTTTCCTTGACACAAAGTTTCCATGTTTGTAACATGCCCACTTCGAGGCGGTAAGGCATCATATACCATGTGATACGATGTGTCAACTTCCAGACTCCAGACATTGCCCGCGTTTCACTGTTGACAGTTGACATCCTTTAGAACCATCAACAAATATACAGCAGAACTGTAGGTGCCTTTCGGATCCTTAGAAAAGCATCGGCTTTTCTTATTGCACCACGTTCAACGTCCAGTTGGTCCAGGTATCTTATTGACCTTCTCCTCCCTGGCGGTGTTGGCCTTGTACTTTTTGCAGCCAATGGTCACCTCTCAGCTCCTTGCAGCCTACAACTGCCGAGACATGGATGACGGAGCCCAGTGACACCGCGATGAAAACCACACATTTGGCCCTTTTGAGGAACTTAACAAAGGCGTGTACTACTGATTACTACTGTATGTTCTGGGATTATAAAGGATGGGTATTTTTTTTAAGGATTTTTTTTTTCAGTCTGGGGCAGCTTTTCCTTGCTATTTGCTGCACCTGGCTTCACTTGGCTTCACTTGGCTTCACCTGGCTTTTGGCTTTTGGCTTTGGCTTCACTTGGCTTTTGGCCTTTTTGGCTTTCTGGCTTGTTGACTTTTGGCTTCACCTGGCTTTACAACACCCTAAAGAAATCAGCTTTGGCTTTGTCTTTTTTGGCTTTTGGTTCTTGGCTCTTGGGCTTTTTGGCTTTTGGCTTCTGGCTTTTAGCATTCGCTTCACTTCGCATTTTGCATTTGGTTTGTTGGCCTTTTGGCTTTTTGCCTTTGGCTTGTGCGAGAGGAATGAAGACCCTACTATATAATAAGTGTCCGAGATAGATAGAGATAGAAAGAGATAGATAGAGATAGATGCAGATAGATAGATGCAGATAGATAGATGCAGATAGATAGATAGATAGATGCAGATAGATAGATAGATAGATAGATAGATAGATAGATAGATAGATAGATAGAGAGATAGATAGATAGAGAGATAGATAGAGAGATAGAGAGATAGATAGAGATAGAGATAGATAGAGAGATAGATAGAGATAGATAGAGATAGATAGAGATAGATAGAGATAGATATAGAGATAGATAGATAGATAGCTAGATAGAGAGATAGATAGATGGATGGATAGATAGACAGATAGATAGATAGATAAAATTAGGTAGATAGATAGGTAGGAAGATAAATACAAAGGTAGGTGCATAGATAGGTAGATAGATACAAAAGAAGCACAGGTGCGGATGGAAACAGTGGAAAAAATGTTCGAAAGAAACGGAACACCAGAAACACCAGAGAGTGATGGACGAGGAACATACAGAAAATGCTGAAAACCGTCGATGAAAACCATAGATCAATGGATAAAAAACATAAAAATGGAATGAAAACACAAGTATAAAACTTAAAATCGATGACAGAGGAAAAAACGATAGAAACCTCGAAAACCAATGAAAAATGAAGGACAGCAGCCTTGACGACCAAAAAAAAAAGAGGAAAACTATTGGAAAATGAAAGACAACTAATGGAACATGAAGAAAAACTAATGGAAAATGAAGGAAAACTAATAGAAAATGAAGGAACACTAATGGAAAAGGGAAAATGAAGGAAAATTAATGGACAATGGAGGAAAACTACTGGAAAATGAAGGAAAACTAATAGCAAACCAAAAACAAAGAAGAGACCTAAAACAAACACAAAAAATCCTTCAACAAATCATCACCCGATTATAAATCCCAATTTTCGACCACATGCATTGATTATCATTGATTTGTTCTTGAGACATCTTGAGACTAACTCAGTTTTTCATTGTTTTTCTCCAGACGTTGCGTTGCACTGCACTGCGAAGCTCCAGTTGGACTCGCAGCCACGGCGCAGGAGGGCATCGACTGGACACGGCACGCTGGGCTCTTGACATGAGTGGCCTAGCGAAGTTGGCACTTTGAACCTGGAGTATGTTGGAGTGTTTTTTCCGGTGTCAATATCGTAATAGCGTGTCCTGGGAATTCCTGGGATTTGCCCTTGGCAATTGAGTTTTGAAGGCTTCTTCGATTTCCCACAGGTACACTTTGTGTGAGGATTGTGCGAGCTAGGCATGCTGGACTTGGGGATGTGAAGTATCAAAGTATCAAAAGGGTGGTATCCCCTCCTGTGCGTCGGGCACAGTAGTGTTCGTCTCATTCATGATTTGATGCTCGCTAAGGTGTTGACTGTAACAGTCCTGTTCACCAGAAATGGCAACTTGTGACTTCCATTGGCTTGCTGATTTGGTCCTTCGGAATTCCCTTGATTTTGTCCCTTGGATGGAGTTTAGAGCCCAAACTCCGAACTCCGTATGAGCAGAAACATGGATTACAACATTAGGTGCTAAATCAGTACCAACTAACCCGGTTCACCCCTTGGGAGAACAAGATCCTTCTGATCATTTCTGAGACTTCAGCAAAGTCATGGCAAATCATCTTGCGGCACTTTCTACAGAAGTACTTAGTGCATACTCGTGCATACTCGTGCATACTCGTGCATACTCGTGCATACTAGTGCAAAAACAATGCCCAAAAATGCTCAAAGATGCCCAAAGATGCCAATGATGCTGATTGAGTGCTCAATGATGCTCAAAACATGCTCAATGCCTTAGGCTCAAAAGCCTGGACCTGTGGCGTAGTCATGCATAATTATTATTCTTTGAATTTCTTTGATATGTTGCCGTTTTATTTAACTTTCTGCTCAAGCATTTTTCCGTCCTTGATTCAAGTGTTTGTCCCAGCCTCAATGAAAGTTCCAATGGCGCTCAGGTACATCATTCCGTGGGCGTAACTTGGCACTTGCCATATCTTGCCATGCAGAAACATGATGTGATGTGACTTATGTGTGCCCTGTTTGGGCGCCGCCAAACCGTATACTGTGGCAATCTGTGGCACCTGAGGATTCTGAAGTGGACATCGTACACGCTGCAAAGCAAGGAGATGTGGACGGTTTTTGGCTTCCTTTATGACGGATTCTCGGCCAAGATGTGGGAATCATGTGAGGCAAGTGATGAGGTGTGCGTTGTGCCAAGTCCATGTCATGTGCGTCACTTGAGTGACTAGAGGTCTTTGATTGTTCTCATTATGGTTAAGAACCACCACATTGGGCCAGTGGTGCAGTTGAAGCTTCAGCCTTTGTCTCAGGATTTGAGCCAGACTTCTGGTACTACGAGTCCTTCATGATGCTGTATCTCGGGGTTTGAAATTCAGACGAGCGGTATTACAATGATCAGCAGATTCTGCCAACTGATGCAAATTGCAGAAAAGTTATCGATGCCATCATTCGCCTTCACCATTCAACATCATGAGCCTGCTTTTTCCTGAAGTTGGCACCGTACGTTTCATCGATCCGTTGCACCCAAGGAGAAAAACATATATTTTGATTGCAGCGAACATCATGTGGTTAAGTCCTGAAACTCGAACTGTGGTTCTTCTTACCTTGGTGATCTATTTCCGCTACATGCACCTGAGAGACTTGGCAAAACAGGATCTTGTTTGTTTCATGTTACCTTCCGGGAATCAAAGTACCCCAATCGTGAGCATTTTCATGGGAAAATCATCCATAAATATCACAAATGGTGGGTTTTCCGGCGAGCTATGTTTGATTCAGATTACCGGAGCCATCCGGAGCCCAACATGGCACAGAGCTGAGGAGATTTGCCCTATGATAACCGTGCCTACATGGGAGTGGATCGCTTGCAGTTTCAGTCTTTAGCCACCTTCACCTGGCTCCTGCTGGGCCGGCTCTTCCGCACCATGCTCGAGCTAACGGACAACGCGCTGGCGAAGGATTGGTCGCCTGCTTTCTACCTCCCAGCCATGCTCAACTTCTTCTTCCTAGTAGGAAGATGCTCGGCGCAGGTTTCTTTGGCCTTTGATGCCAAGGGGAAGCATTTGAAGCATCCTCTGGAAACATCCTGGTAGTGTCTGATACAACATATGTTTCAATATTTTCAATGGAAAACAGTACTAATTGATCCGAATTGATACCAACTGTATATATTCAGAGTGCTATTGTCATTCTCCAAACCTCACTGCTTTACGAGATTCGAGTACCGTTTGGATTCCTAAGGCCTGGGATGGATGTTGCCATGCCAAATACATGAGCATACGCGTGACATCAGCAATGTACCCTCTGGTAATTTAACATAGCTATTGAAAATTGCCATTTATAGTGGATTTTCCCATTAAAAATTGTGATTTTCCATAGTTATGTTAGTGTACCAGAGGGTAGACAAGAAGTCTATGAATATTGCCATAATATTGCCATAATAGCTGGCTGCGGTGTAAAGTCGGGCTGATGGATTGCACATTGCCATGCCGGAGTTTGCTTGACAAAATTTGTCTTTTCTGGACAGCTTGCTTTGCTTCATATCAATATCAACCCCGTCACACGGGCAATTCTTGGGAGTTCTGCGCCACATTTTGTGTCTGCCCCGGAGCCTTCCAAGGAGCTATTTATTTGATCCTGCGGGAGGTCATTTGGCCTCTGCAATCGCCCCCAACATTGCGCCTGGGCCTAGACGAGCTGTCACGAATTCTTCAAAGGTATGGCCGCAGTGGAAATTTCGGCACTTCAAACTGTTTGAGATCGAGGAAACAGTTCCATTGCCTTTAGTGACTTGTGGCTTGTGGCCCAATGATGTCCAATGTCCATCAATGTCCCAAGTGGCCAAGTGGCGAGTGCCAGCATGCCCGGCATTGGACATCCATGGACATCCAGTCATCCCAGGATGCCAAAGTGTGTGCGAGATCGCTTGGACCACAGAGTCACTGGGCTGAGTTGCAGCTGCTATGATTGGGCTGACTGGGCTGACTGGGCTGACTGGATGAAGCCAACAATTCCCCTTTATGATGAGACTCCATCGGTAGGATGGTAGATCATGGTAGAACCATAGGCGCACAGATCCGCGGTCAACAGTAGACTCAGTAGACCTGCCGGTCGCTTTGAGCTCGGGGAAAATTGGCCTATGCCTACTGGTGCTTGTGAGGTGACTTTCTCGTTCATTCCGCCAGCGAGGAACTCAGCCTCCGGAAGTCAACTTGTCAACATGCAGTTTCAGTTTCTGAAGCCTGTTCCGTTTTGTTTCCAAGTCATATCTTACATCAAGGCAGTGTTTGATGTGGATGCCAAGCAACAGCATTTCCACCGAGCCTTAGTTTGCAATGGCCTTCTCCAACAGCTTCAGGGCTTTCTTCCGGGGACGTCCATGAAGTATTCGATCAGATCATTGGATTGGTTTACGGTCAAAAAAATGCATTAAGCCCTTAAAAATTGGTAACAAAACATGTAAAAACCATGTAAAAACCATGGTTTCCTGTAGGTGTTCCCTTCAAGCAATGCATGAGTTTCAGCCAGTCTCTCCTTAGGCGTTGAGCATGGAAGCCTTTCGGCCGACAACATGGCAGACCTGGCAGAAGATTGGAATTTGACCAGCACGCCTGCCTTGCCAAACCAGGCTGGAAGCCATGGAAGCCGCTGGACCTATTGGTTGAAAAATCGCTATGGGTTGTTTTGTCAATATTCTTTAGGCCGCTACACTACATACTGTACTGGTAACATCTGGTAACAAGGATGAGAAAGCTGAGAACAGAATCTGCAGGAATATATTAGTGTAGGATGAGGGGTCATGATGATTGATGCTTGATGGTTGAGCATTGTTGATGATTTGTTTGGCATGGAGCACAGGAGCGAGAGATCTTGAAGACCATCCTGACCGAAACGGCGGAAGTCCTCCTGCGAAGGCATGAAATCGTGCATGGAGAGGCAGTCTGACGGGGTCGCTGCTGTCTGTTGGGGGTCGGTGATGTAAGAAGTAGATTTGCTCAGAAGCACAAAGAAGATAGGAGCTATGGCATGCCAGTTCATGCCAGTTCTAGAGCACTTTGAGTTTGGGAAGGATATTTAACAGGAAGCGTTCGAAGGAAATGGATCCATTATTTCACAGTTATTATTATTATTTTTTCTTTGGTGGGGGGGGGCGGTATATTTCCTTGTTTCTTCATTCCAAATTTCGTCGTAGTGCTCGTAGTCGTAGTAGTAGTCGTAGTCGTAGTAGTAGTCGTAGTCGTAGTAGTCGTCGTCGTCGTAGTAGTAGTAGTCGTCGTCGTAGTAGTAGTAGTAGTCGTAGTCGTAGTCGTAGTCGTCGTAGTAGTAGTAGTAGTCGTCGTCGTAGTCGTAGTCGTAGTCGTAGTCGTAGTCGTAGTAGTAGTAGTAGTAGTAAAGTAGTAGTAGTAGTAGTAGTAGTAGTAGTAGTAGTAGGAGTCGTAGACATACGAATGAGCCTATGTACTAAAGCCCTTCATTTCTCTCATTTTCGCGGCGGGGCCAAAGGGCGGCCGGCAGTACCCCCTTCCCCCCCCGAACCATTATTATTATTTCGCGGAAATAATAATTAAATCGATTTCGATTCATTATTATTATTTCCGCGAAATAATAATAATCATCGATTTCGCTTCATTATTATTATTTCCGCGAGATAATAATAATGAATCGAAATCGATTCATTATTATTATTTCCGCGAAATAATAATAATGGTTCGGGGGGGGCTACCCCCCCCAATGAATTGGAAGACATACGAATGAATTGGGTTTCAATTTTTTTCCGAAGACATACGAATGAATTGGAAGACATACGAATGAATTGGGGTTCCGACTTTTTTTGGGGGAGAAGACATACGAATGAATTGGTAGACATACGAATGAATTGGGGTTCCGACTTTTTTTGGGGGAGAAGACATACGAATGAATTGGAAGACATACGAATGAATT